GCTTTAGGGCACGGCTGCACCGGCCACTGGCTGGTTGGACCGGACCGGACCGGTTGGAACCCCAGTGGTCCAACTGGAAATCCGGTTGGGCCCAAAACCGGGTCAATTTTTGTTTTTTTTTTCTGTGATGGGGTTGGACTGCGCTTGTCGAGATCTACCAGAATCCGCAGAGAAAAGATTGATCTGCAATTTTTTTTTTTCATGGGGTTGGGGGGGGCCGGGGGGCTGCACTTCAGAGAAAAGTTTGGCTATGAATACGAACGAGGGGGATAGAAGAAAAAGAAAAAAAAAAAAACCTGCCCCCCCCCCCCCCCCCCCCCTCTCTCTCTCTCTCTCTCTCTCTCTCTCTCTCTCTCTCTTCTGCGTGCCCACTGGTTTCCACGTGCACACTTACTCCCGCACACAACTTACTTTCGTGCGCTTGTCTACTTCACAAACTTCGGCTCTGCCAGAAGAAGAAGAAGAAGAAGAGGATAGTAAGACAAGATGGTAAGAAGAAGAAGAAGAAGAAGAAGAAGAAGAAGAAGAAGAAGAAGAAGAAGAAGAAGAAGATAGTATGAAGAAGAAAAAGAGGAACAAAGGAGGACTCACCTTGACCTATGGACGGCGGGGCGAGGCGATGGCAATCCGATGCCGGGGCGGAAGTTGGGGGGGCGACGTTGTCTCGACCTCGTTCACTTTCGACGAAGTGTCGAAGTGAAGGGTCGTGCTGCTCGAAAGCAGTTGGGGGCGGGAGGCGGGGTGGTGAGGTCGGTGGCTGGGGCTCGTTAGGATCGCCACCAAGAACTTCAGGTGGTTTCCCGCCTGAATGTTCAAAAACCGGCGGACTATCTGGGCCGCAGATCTCACCAGATCGACGGCCCAGATAGGTCGCCAGTTTTTCAAGAATCTGGCGGGTCTACCAGACCCGATTAATTTTTTTTTGGGGCCGGGAGGCCTCCACGACCCGCATGGAGGCCGGCTGCGGGGCATTCACGTTAACGCGTCGCGACTTTCAGGGACTACGCCGCCGTTCAGATTTTAAATCTACAGCCCCCATCGCGGCGCAGGCCTCTGAAAGTCACGCTCGTGACAACGTGCCAGGACAACTGGTAGGTACTGGTGGTTTAACTCGGGGAGTGTTTTTGAAACGGTTTTCACCTTTGCAGTAGCAGACACGGATCCCAGGGTTCGATCCCTAGACCTTGCCCTCACCCTTGTACAGTACCAAGTCGACCCATGTTTGTTTGAACCCGTGACCTGTGTTTTGGTAGTCGTCTGTTGTCTGTTGCAGGTTAGTGTGATCGTCGGGTCTTGAACTGTAGGACTGCCAAGTAGGGGTCGTAGCTGCGTAGAAGTCGTAGCTGCTACAGTCCTGAAAGGTCAAGGCCGTAGCTGCTACAGTCCTGAAAGGTCAAGTCTACAGACTTCCGGAAGGTCCGGAAGTGACCTTTCGAGAATTGCTTAGGTTAGGCTAGAGGCAAGTGGGCAAGTGGGCAGGTGGGCAAGTGGGCAGTCCAACCTCGCCTAGTCAATGGTACCCAGTCCCAGTCGCACTTTGTCCAGTCAGCATGTACCATGTGGGGCTGTGTGCACCCTGGGCCAGTGGAAAGGGGGCAGACCAGCCACCAACCGAAGCATAAATCAAGAGGCAGCGTCCAGTTATTCATTCATTCTGCCTGTGCGCCGTACGGAAGCGCTGCCTGAGCGTCTTGTGCGAGGAGGTCTGCAGGTGCCCGAAGGAGAAGTGGGCTGTAAAGGAGACGAAGCGGCCATAGCCGCTAGTTAGTAGGGGAGGTAGAAGGCAGCCATAGTTGCTGTAGGTTAGAGATAGGCTATAGCGTGTATGTGTGTGCATGCGTGGGACATCCAGGGAGATCCAGAGTAGCGTGTGTGTGAATAGTTGCTGGGAATACAATGTTGGAATACACTGTTGGAAGGGTGTTGTGAGGGCGCACAGGCGCCATAGCCATTCGAAGCAAGTGTAATGACCCGTCAAAACACAGACTGAGAACACTGCTGATTGCTGAAGTTCTGCCGATGGAATGGATGCCTTGCTGAGATTCCAGCATTCTGCTGTGTTTTCTAAGTCTGTCTGTGTGTGCGTGCTTGTGACCTGCGTGCCTGTCTGAGCGCTTGTCGGTATGAGTGTGTGTGTGTGAC